CAGACTACTTGATCTTTCATCTGGACCCCTGAATATTCTCTGATCTTTATGTCCTCCTCCCAAAAGGATTTGGATATTGCTTGACTCCCTGTATGTATTTCCATGACATTTTCCAAAAGAATTGATTCCCTCTTCTACAGATGCATCATCCATCTGACTTCCTATGCTTTGGAAATCAAATGTCTGCACTCTGTATATCTGTGTACTCCTATGTATGCACTTGTTTTTTGAACTGCTTGTCCTCACTATGAATGCCCTTAGTACTATACTATATACTATACTTAAATCTACCCAAATGGAATGAGTACTGAGTACTAATACCACCATCTTAAGTTTCATTAAAGTATAGGATATAGATAGCATAGTTGTACCTGCAAAAAAGAAAAACAGATTAGTAATAAATGCTCCACTCATACTCTCCTCTATCCAGATTTGAGTATGAGTGATGCAATAAGTAACCCCTGTTTCTAATTCACCCCAGGCCTCCTTTTCTTCTGCTAACTTCTTGCAACTCTTACTCTCAAAACAGGGCATTGCATCTTATCTTCATTCACCAGCCTTCTACCTTGACTGTCCAGGTCCCAAAAGCCATAACATTCCATGTCTCCCTCATCCAAAGCATAATTTGCTAAGTGATCTGCTAAATGATTTCCTTCCCTGAATGTATGTGATATTCTGAAATTAAACTCCCCTTTCAATCTCATTATTTCCTCTATCTGATCAACAATACACCAGGGGGGCTTCCATAATCCATCAATTATGTTCTTCAAAAGTAATGAATCAGTCTGCAACCAAATCTGACTGCAATTCATTGCTCTACACATTCTTAAAGCCTCCAGAATTGCTGCTGCCTCAGCTTCAGTGTTTGTACCCTCTCTGATCTCCTTCCCAGTGCATATTTTACTTCTCCTGCTTCATCTCTCAAACAGAAACCTATGGAACTTCTCCCAGGATTACCCCTACATGCTCCATCAGTGTTAACCTTTACCCAACCAGATTGTGGAAATTCCCATATGACCTTCTCATGCTTTAGTGTTGGTGTATATTGCTCCAGCATTTGTAATATTTCTGACCAGTTGT